ACTAGATATTAGAGCCACATATTATCCATTACTTCTTTGTGGCATTTGAAAGGTGATCTACCTTAATAGATAGATTTTCTAGCATTTGTTGTCGTAACTTATCTTTACTTCTTGGAACACGTTGGCTTCCTTGCATCATATTTCATGACTCGTGTTAGGCTTATATGCAGATTAAATTTTCAAACAGCAAGCATGATATGAAGATATACACATAAAGCAAATACAAAATATTAGTTGCAGAAATAGATCGAGAGGAGCATTAAGAACGAATGATATCATATATACCTAAAGAATATGTGGTTTAAAGCGTTAGAGACCACAACTAATAAACTATCATTTAATATGTACATACAACTTAGAATATTAGTCTTTAGATACGCATGCAGCATGTATCTTGAACAATGGGTATAGATTTATTTAAAAAATTATATATATAAAAATTATAAAAGAATATATTTGAGTTAGAAAAAATAAGAACAATATTTAAGTCCTGAAAATAATGATTTTTGATGTCATTAAACTACTCAGCAAAGAAAAAGATCATGCCTCATAAAAGTGCTCACAATATTATCCAAATATTAACTATGTGTTTGCACAAGAGACAAGTATCAATAAAATACTATGGTGTCACATTTTCCTTCATAACAAATGACCGGATTTTTGTAAGTGTAAGATTTACGTAAGTAAACTTTTAATATTGTTAAAGTTTATGGATTTTTTGTTTAGTTTAAATAAGAAAAAAATATAAGAATATAGTTTTAAACTCCTTAATTTGAATAAAGTAAATTCTTAATGTTTTCAAAATTCTAAATAGTTGGACTTTCTGCATAGTTCAAGTAAGAAAATTTTGATACATAAAATTTTAGTTAATTTCAAACACCTAAATATTAGAAAATAATTAAACGACTATTCAATGAAGTATTTTTTATAGTAATTTACCCATAAGGGACTACAGATTTTTTGTTTATTTATAGATAAAGTTTGGATGAGATAAAAACCGTCAGTTTTAAGTTCTATTTTCCTACTACGTAAACATTAATCTCCTCTCTATAGGCAATTTATTTTTTGTGGTTTGTGCTTTAATAAGAAGATGTTCATTGGTAATAGTATTTTATTAGTAATGTAGAATTAAAATTATAGTACATAATGTATCTTTTGTTAATGAAAGGAGAGGGGAGAAAAAACGTAATAAAAGTTTATTGTTTTTTTTTCCAATTCTTTTTAATGATTTATATAAGGTAAAACTATAATTGAACTTAAACTCCTAAATATTAGGATTTCATACCTAGTTCAAATACGGAAGAATTAAATAAATGAAATATAATTAATTATTAAGTCCTAAATATTAGGAAACTGATTTAAATGATTATTTTGTCCAGTATAAAATTAACTTTTAAAGGGTAAAAAGGCGAACGATATTTCGCTAAGGGTTTTCGTGCTTTTAATATAGTACTAGTATTAGTATACGTGTGTTGCACGTGTGTATAGCGTTTGTCAATTAAAACTATATTTACATTGATGTTAAAATTAAATACAATATTTGTTTAAATGATGGAAGTAAATAGTATAGTATTGATACAGTAGTAGAATTCAATATCTTTTAAATATGTAGAGATGATGAATTTAGTTAAGTTAATTATATATTACTCTATAATCATACTATCTTTGTAATATGAGATACAAATATGTTATATTAAGTCTCACCCAATTATGAATATATTTCATCTTCCATTATTTCATTCTTATTTCTTCAAATTTGCATTTTGACCAATTTAATTCTTAATGCTATAACTGATTTTGTTTAGTTTTTGATTTCTTTCCTCGACAATATCTTTTTATGGAAAATAATTTGTGTATTCTAATATTGTGTAAACTTGAAAAATTATTTTACCAATATGATGAATTTGAAAAAGAATAAAATTTGAATTTATTCTAATTAATTCATTCAAATACTTAATTATTTTTTTAAATATCAAAACAAATAATATATTTTTTGGGGATTCAAATTCTTAATATTATTCATACCATATTTTACATATTTAATTATAATTATATTTTTTTCCACAAAAAAATTAATTATACATATTCGAACTTTTGCACTTTATGTTTGTCAAAGCTCTGATGTAAATGACTTTTGTCAATCACTTTTCTTTTTCTCTTTATTTTTGATTTTATTAAATATTTTATAATTATTTATTTTAATTATGTTTTACAATCTATTGTAATATTTATATATAAGCAAATTATTGTTCAAAGAATAAAATTAAGGGTCAGTGGACCAATCTCACATAGACTATATATTCATAACATATATAATTGTCGAATTAGGATAAAGGACCACAAAAAATGCTTCCTCTTTCTTTAATTATTTCTTTATTTTATTTTGTTTACATTGCAATTGTTCTCCCAAAAATTAGCACAATTAAAGAATCCATTGTGAGCTAAAAAAAATATTCAATTATAGACCATTGATAGGCATAAAGATTCTAGTTTTATTAAATCATCTTTAATCCTAAAATTTATATAAGGTAAAACTTTAGTAGTTGTAAAGCCCTAAATATAAGGACTTTTTACTTAATTCACATAAGGAAAGATTAAATAAATAAAATGTGATTTAATTTCAAACTCCTAAATATTAGCTAGGAGAATAATCAAATGACTATTTTATCTAGTGTGAACTCTATTTTAAAAGGATAAAAAAGATGAACGATATTTCACTAAGGGCATTGGTGCTTTTAATATAGTATAGATAGATAGATAGATAGATAGATAGATAGATAGATAAGCATCTTAGTTGGTTTTCAACTCCAAATATTTGGTAAATTCCTATCTATATCTTTATCTATACTATATTAAAAGTACGAAAGCTCTTAGTGAAATGTCATTCTCCTTTTTGCCCTTTTTAACATATAGTTCACATTGGATAAAATAGTCATTTGATTAATTTACTATTATGTAGGAGTAGTCATTTAATTAATTCCCTACTTTTTAGGAATAGTCATTTAATTAATTTTCTACTATTTAGGAATTACCATTTAATTATTTTTCTAATATTTATAACATTAATTTTTAATTCCTTTTGGTTTTAGAATTTCAAGCACATACATTAGGAGAGCTTTTTGTTAATTACACATAGGAAAGTTTTGTGTTTAACTCCATTTTATTTAGGAGCAGCATTAATTTTCTCCCTTTAGATTTAGGAGGATGTTTTTCAGTTAATGAATTTTGACTAATTTATACACACTAGAGAAGTATCGGTACTTTCAAACACATTCAGATTTGGGAGTATTAAAATTCTACACTTGAAAAGTTTTTTTAGTTAATAAAATTTTGAAACACACTAGGAAAGTTTTGGTATAACTTTTTGACAAGTAATTTTCTCGTAAATATATTCGGTAAAAACGAGCTCTTTGAACTTCTTTTGGATTTAAGAGTCTTTATTTTTTATTAAATTTTTACACAATTTTATATGCTCAAATACTTCTAAAAAAGAAGCTACAGTTCCAGCTTTTCATCATAAAAAAATTGTCTTGTTTATGAAACAGTTACAAGATTAAGGGTTTTTGGTTCACTTTCTTTATGAGCAAAAATTTTTTGTATTAACAGTTTAATTTACATTCGTATTTGTATTAATAGTTGAATTCTCTTCGACATATTTGTAAACTTTATATTTGTATTAGTAGTTAAATTCTGCATTCACGTATTCAAACAATACATCTTTATTTTAGTCTTTTTGATTGTGAAAGTTGGTTAAATAGTGGCCTTTTTGTATTAGGTTGTACGCTTCAACTTTTTGTCAATCTATTCCTTCTACTATTTTGTTGTGCTCGGATGGACCTTATCTCTTTGTTGGTTGTCCATTTCTATATCTGATTTTAACATATTTCATATTGACTAAGTTATAAATAATTTTTTTACATAATATTTTATAATCAACTAAAATTTTGGTTATAAACTTTTGCTTATTTGAACTAAGTAGGGAGTTAGTACTTTGAAATCAATTAAAAAAATTCCTTATATAATTTTATTTTATTTGAACTGCATAAAACTCCTATAATTTGTTTTTAAAAACTTCATCAATCAATTAACATACTGGAATCTATACGTACTTTGGTTTGTAATGGAATGTGAAAAGAATCCTTCCCTTATTCGAATAACTATGTGGCTAATGATTTTACTATTTCGAGTTCATGCACAAATCAAAACTATTACCCAAAAAATATCAAAGAAAAGATATAACATAATTCTTGGTTGGGATATTAAATGTGTTGGGGAATCAAAGTTCTTTAAAAAGAGTTTTATGTTAAAACTTTAAATCTTCAAAAGTTATTTTTTCTTGCTGAAACATAAAAAGAAATATGATAACTTGTGAAACTTAAGTAATTAATTATGATATTAAAACTAATTTTAAGTTACATATTGATTGAGATGATAGTACATTTATGAGATAGATTTTCTTTCTTTATTAAAAAGCTAAATAAGATTAACAATTAATTATTTTAGGAAATTAATTATACTTTTTAAATTTTTGCTTATAATTAAAATAATATAATATAAAAACTAATACTGATTGAGATGAAGTACACGTGCCACGAGCGTATCTCGAGACTAGTTTACGATAATTTTATCCAACATGAAATGTCACAATGAAAGAATAATTTAATTTTTGACCGTATATAATTCAATCAATATTATAGGGCTCCGGATATCAGATAATAAAAAAAGAAATTAGAGAAAACAATTTTACACAAATAATAGGTAGATCGTTAATTGTTTTTCGCTACTTTATCAAAGTGTTGTCGGTCGTCAACTATTTAATTAATCCATATCTAAGAATTATAATTGAGAACATTGCAAATTGATTTTTTTTGTACACGGTACAGAAAGCAGAAATAGACAAAGCCAATAAACGTATCACATGTCCGGAAAAGTCGTCCAATAATGAGAGAGATCAAGAATTCTGGGAAACTATACTTAAGTTGACATACAGCCATTCTCTATAAATTACCTTCCTCAATATGTTAAGCTCTATCAAGAAGAAGAAAAAAATTGGTTCGTTTTGATACAATTTGGACTTTGCCTAGATAGTAGATATAATTAAAATTTGAAAGTGTATTTTGAGGAGCTGAAATGATAATTATCATACTCTCCGATATGGAAGTGGATAAGGTCCCTGCAAGAGATGAACCCAAGTATGGAGGAATAAAGGCCATGCCCTTCATTATAGGTAAAATTGCAATATGAATTGATGCTATATTGTACTTCAATTTCTAAATGTGACAAACTGTAGAATTTACAACACAAAAATGTTGGAGGCCTCTTATTTGAGCTTTGCTTGTGTAAAACATAACGTGCAGGAAATGAGACATTTGAGAAGCTGGGAACTATTGGAACCTCAGCGAATCTCTTGGTTTACTTAACTACTGTCTTCAACATGAAGTCAATTACTGCTACTAACCTCATTAACGTCTTCAATGGTACTTGCAACTTTGGAACTCTGCTCGGAGCTTTCCTTTCAGACACTTATCTTGGTCGCTACAAGACACTGGGGATTGCTTCTATATCTTCTTTCACGGTATTTAGAGAGAGTGCACTTTAATTTACTTAATTATGTCTTTTACAATTTGAAGGGGAGCCTTGGAGCAACGATCAAGTTGTCTCACGGGTTCGAGCCGTGGAATCAGCCATTGATGCTTGCATTAGGCTAGGCTGCCTACATCACACGCTTTTGGGGTGCGGCCCTTTCCCGGACCTTGCATGAACGCAGGGTGCTTTGTGCACCAGACTGCTTTTTTTTTTATGTTTTCATCAATTTGCAACTTATGGTAAAACTTTGAATATTTGTATGTATACAGGGCATGATGTTTTTAGCGCTAACAGCAGCAATCTCAAAACTGCATCCTCCACACTGTGGAACCGCAGCAAATAGCACTTGCCTTGAACCAACTACAGGGCAACTAGCTTTCTTACTATGTGGATTTGGCTTTCTAGTAATAGGTGCAAGTGGCATTAGGCCATGTAATTTAGCCTTTGGAGCAGACCAATTCAATCCAAATACAGAATCAGGAAGAAGAGGAGTTAATAGCTTCTTCAATTGGTACTACTTCACCTTCACTTTCGCAATGATGGTATCGTTGACTGTCATCGTCTACATTCAATCAAGCGTGAGTTGGGCTATCGGATTGGCAATTCCCACATTTTTAATGTTCTTGTCGTGTGTTTTCTTCTTCGTTGGTACCAAAATTTATGTCATGATTTTACCTGAGGGTAGTCCCTTGACAAGTTTTGCGCAAGTTCTCGTAGCTGCAATAAAAAAGAGGCGATTACAACTACCAGAACAACCACAGAATACCTTGTTCAACCACGTTTCAATCAATACTATCAACACTGAACTTCCTTATACCGATCAATTTAGGTAACTGATACAATCATTCCACCTTCTTTTTTTTTTAATGTGGAGCTGAGACTAATGAAAGATACACAACAATGATTGTGCAGGTTCTTGAATAAAGCATCTATTATAACTCCTGAAGACAGAATAAAAGAAGATGGATCAGCAGCCAACCCGTGGAAACTTTGTAGCATTCAACAAGTGGAAGAAGTGAAATGTGTTGTAAGAGTATTTCCAATATGGATAGCAGGATTGATATACTACATTGTTCTAGTCCAGATGCAGGCTTATGTAGTCTTTCAAGCCTTACAAAGCGATAGGCGTCTTAGAAATACAAGTACTTTCAAGATTCCAGCAGCATCTTACGCGGTCTTCCAAATGTTAAGCATGACTATTTGGATACCTATTTATGACAGAATAATTGTACCATTTCTCCAGAAGATCACAAAGAAAGAAGCTGGAATAACAGTCCTTCAAAAAATGGGAATCGGCTTATTTATTGCAGTTTTCACAATGCTAGTATCAGCTGTAGTGGAAACTCGAAGAAGGAATGTCGCATTTAGCCACCCAACACTAGGCATTGAAACAAGAAGAGGTGAAATTTCAGCCATGCCTGCTAATTGGTTAATACCTCAACTGGCTCTAGCAGGACTTTCTGAAGCATTTACAGTCATAGCCCAAGTTGAGTTTTTTTACAAGCAATTTCCAGAAAACATGAGGAGTTTTGCAGGGTCATTCTTGTTTTGTGGATTTGCATTGGCTAGTTATATGAGTAGCTTCTTGATATCAATAGTACACAAGACAACAAGAACATCAGATACAGAGAATTGGTTAGCAGAGGATTTAAACAAGGGGAGATTGGATTATTTTTATTACTTAGTTGCTGCTTTGGAGGTTTTAAATTTGGGATACTTTCTAATATGTGCCAAGTGGTACAAGTACAAGGGAACACAAAATGATCACAATCTTGAAATTGCCTTGGAAAAATTAGAACCCACAAAACCTCTAGTTTGATTTCTCACTTTCTTTCTTTTTCTTCTAAATAAACATACATACAATTTCATCAGCTGCCATGGCAATGTACATTTGATTCATGTTACACCAAATCTCACCCATTAGACTAAATATGGTGATGCGTGATTACCAAACTAGCTTGAGCGAATATTTCATTTAAAATACTTTTTTATTTTTTTTATGTATGAGAATGTTAGATTAGAAAAACTAAAAATAGACAGATAAATAAAAGGAGAATTGAAAAATAATTAATTGTGTGACAGAACTTAACCGTATTAATAAATTCATCCATTTTCATCTTATTCACTTTTTTCCATGTAACTGAAAAATATTTGTTGATGAACTAGAAATATGAAATTTATAATAACATAAAGCTAAAACCAGTAAAATCAAAATGGTAATGCGAATTTATAAATTATTATCAGAATTTGATTACCATTCTTACTTATTACAAGTTTTAAATTGTGAATATTCTATTAGAGTTCGATCAGCTCATAGATGATACTGGTTTTCAAAAATAAAATTGAAAATACAACTAGATCAAAATGTATAATATTATCCCAGTGGCATAACATTTAATTCAATAATAGAAAAATTAAGCAGTATTGCTAAAGAAAAGCTAGTTCAATTTCTTTTTCCTATCGACTTATTAATGTCCTTTTCGTTGAGAAATTATATCTTGTAATATATTAGTTTCTGTACAAACATCCTTTACCCTTTTGTTGTGGAAAAGATATTTGGCGCTTCACGAATTAAGATAATGATTTCTTTCTGTTAACAAGAGTTATCTTTTAGCTCTTGTAGATATGCAACTAAGTGGGCGTTTGGATATAAGAATGGTAAAATTCCAAAAAAGGGTGAAATTTTTTTTCAAGTGAAAATGGTATTTGAAATTTTGAGTTGTGTTTGGACATGAATATAAATTTGGGTTGTTTTGAAGTTTTGTGAGTGATTTGGGTGAAAATTTTGAAAAATAGGTTTTTTGATGTTTTTAAATTTTCAAAATGCATCTTCAAGTGAAAAATTGAGAATTTTATGAACAAATGTTGATTTCCAAAAAAGTAAAAAAAAAATGAAAAATTTCTTATGTCCAAACGGGCATAAAACTCGCCATGGCGTATGAGCAAATACGTGAAATTTTGCTGGTTGTCCTTTTTTATCGGTTTAGTAAATGATTATTTTTTTATTTTTTGAAAATTGATGTATCTTTTATAGGACATTTTAAAAATTCTTTTTGAGCAAACTGAAAATCTTATGAGAAAAATGTGAAATTATGGTAAAATTTTTTTGTAAGTTATTACAAATTTTAGACCATAGTCTAATGGATTGTGAGCAAGCTGAAAATTATAGGAATTTTTACCTCATATAGCAAAGGTTAACACCTTATTTATTTTAAATAAATACCATTTTTAAAAAATTATATTCTATAGATATCTTTTAAGGTTTATAGCAAAATATTTAATTTTGGTTACCTTCTAGTCCTAAGCAACTAAATACGCTAATCAGTTACACTTTTTTCTTTCTCTCTTTACTTTGATACATCCCATTCTCTTCCCCCATCCCATTAAAATTTCCGATCTCCCCTCCCCCTTCCACCGGATTTATGCAAAGCTCACTTCAGAGCAAGTTCACTTTCTCCATCTCCATTGATCCGCCTCACTCAATTTCTCAGTCAATATTTCATATCTTTCTGTACTCTTTCCACGATAAGAAAACGTCTTGCCTTCTTCAATTCTTGATAATTGCATTGAACCTCTTTCCTTCTTGTTCTTCTTCTCCTCGCGTTCTATAAAAAGTGGACTGTTTGGAATAGTTTCAATTTTATTTTCTGGGTTGTGGGGTTCAATTGATTGTTTTCTGGGTTGTGGGGTTCAATTGTAGAATTGGTATTCGCATTCTTGGAAAGGCAGCAAACATCATCTAACCCAAAGCAATGCTCGCGCGTTCTCCGCGGGGAACGAGTCACTAAAATCACCAAACCAATCACTTTGTTCTCGAAATAAAGTTGGTGTGTTTGTGTTACCAGCAGAATTACCATGACATATTGATTCTTTCAAAATCCTGATGGCCCTATTTTGATTCTTTCAAAATCCTTAGCTCTTTTAATCCGGTTGGTTTCTCATTACCGGCTTCCGGTGAACGGCGGATTCGCCAGAAATTAGGGTTTGTTCTTGAACAAAGACGATGGAATTTGGGGCTGAACAATTTGGTTTTCTATTAATATATTTCAATATATTTTCAAGTATTTCATTGTATTCATTGTCTTTTTTTCATTGTAATTCAATGTATCTCGTTGTATTCCATGTATTTCATTGTATTCACTATCTTTTTTTCTCATTGTATGAATGTATCCCGCTATATTCTATGTATTTCATTGTATTCACTGTCTCGCTATATGCCATGAATGTATTCATAAGTTTTTTTTAATTAATAAAATTTATGTATTAAGATGTATTATATAATTTCTCTGAAGATTGCTATGTTTTTGAGGTATTTTCGGTTGAGAATCTTTTTTATAACTGAAAATACAAAATTTGTATGTTATAATTGAGTTTTTTGATTATATTATGAGTCTATTAGGTTAATTGATTCACTTTCCGTTTTAAAAACAGTGTAATCCTCTATTTCACGCCATGAATACAGTCGAATACAATAATCTGTCCAGCTATAATCCCATGTTTCACTCTATGAATACAGTAGAATACACTTGAATACAACAACTGATTAACTGGATTTCCCTGATTCACGCCTATTTTTGCTACTGTATTCATGAATACAATAGCTTAAATACATCAAAAACATCTTATAACCACATAAAAGATATCTATAATCTGTAATATAGCAAATGATATCTATGGATGACTAATTACTACTAAAAGATAATGCTTTATGAAAATTTCTCAAAATTATATTAGCAAAAATAGATCCGAGATCCGAGATCCCAGTCGAATATTGTCTAAAAGTGATAATTTTTCAATGGCTATATTTACACAACTTTTTAAAATACGGACAAAATCTAAGCAGTAATAGCCTAGAAAGGGACATTTGTGTAAATTAGCCCGCAAATATAGAAGCTAAGGCCCAGTGACCCAAGGTCCAAACTCCAAAGGGAACCAGGCCACGTAATTACGTGTGTCATCTTTAATTAATAGCCCAGACATAATTCTTCATAATTTTTTGATATCGTGACAGACAAATAAAAGCAGTCGTGACTTGTAAATATTGAAGGGTTAGTTTATTCTAGTGTTCTTATTTTCACATTAGTAATTAGTAATATATTTGTTTAACCAAATATATATTTTTCGGTCAAAGTCTAATTTTAGAAGAAAACGGGTTATTGATAATCAAGTTTTGCTTCACTTTCTCAACGATATCAAAGGAAAATAATAAGAATAACTAAGGAAATAATTGATTGCAAAGTCAAAGCAGAGAATTTCGAGAAAGTAGAAAAGTAAAGTGTATATTTCAATATGGCCTCAGATGTATCTTTACAAATGAAATTCTCTTCTCTTGTATAGACATTTACAAATATAACGTTTCCTTCCATTAATGGCTAAATCATTATGAGCTTTAGTATTATTAATGATCCGTTATAATTGGTAATCGTAATTGTTCATGACGATTCTGATTCTCCTTCTTCATTAATTGAAGGTTCATGAATCTTCCCTTTTTACTGTCCTGGTTCATTCCGCCCATGTCTCTTCATTGACTAATTTAGGCTTTGCTTGCACCTCTTGTAACTCGTACATCTTTTAATTGTAATATTCCAGTTGTCATCTTCTCATTGTTCCGCGTATCATGCCCTATCAACCAAATGTAATTCCACATGTATTATTCATTTTCCACCAATACAGATAGTCCCCCCACTTGCTGAATATTCCGCAACTGAATATTTGAGAAGTGATATGTATTTATGGCGGGAATTCTTTGCTGCCATTTCCCAAGCATCATTGCGTTTTCTTTAGAACAATGCGTCGTATGTCATTTCCATTAATGCATGTGCCACGTGGCCTTCGATGATTGGGTCTGTGACTCCTCAGCGTTTATTAGGGCTTTCTTGCGGCTGCGTCAGTCACGAAGTGACTGATTCATTATGACGTTCCATCATAACTTACTTTATACGACGGTTGCTTCTTCTTATAAGTACCTCATGTGTCTTCAGTTTCACGAAACCTTCATCCTACAATGTTCTTCTTCTTCACTCATTCTTATTCTTCAGCATATATTACTTTATTAGTTTCTTATACAACCATGTCTTCATCAAATCCTGATCCTCGCAAAGTAGTAATTGTTGATGAACATCCCCCTTCATGGAACCGTGGTTCCCCGTCTCAAAGTAGTGCTGCCGATCCATCTTCTTCTAGACCTACGACTTTTGCTACCCCAAGATCTTATTCTAAAGATAAAGATTCAACCGAAGCCTTTCGTGAGCCCACTATTGATGAAATTATTCCTCAAGAGCTATCCTTTGTGACTGATAGTGAATCCATGAAGAGTCAAGTCTCTTTTATGGCTGCTTTCCTTAATCGTGTTGATCGTTACCCAAATTTTATTACCACTAGTCTTCTCGCTCTAGTTCGAAGAGAATATAATTGGAAACCCGACTTTCCAATTTTAGTCCCTGGTTCTAACCAAAGAATAACTTCATACCAAGCTGGCTATTCCTTCGTTTATACATATCCTTTTACCCTAGGTTTTAAACCTCTTATTGACCCGGTAATCATTGAGTTCTATTGTTACTTCAATGTGTGTTTAGGACAAATTGGTCCTATTGTTTGGAGATCGGTTGCATGCCTCCGTTATTTATCAAACTTGGTTTCTATGCCTTTTACTTTTCGTCACCTACTCCATCTTTACTCTCTCAAACTATTTCATGAAGGAGTTTTTTCCCTTGTGGCCAAAAGTAAGAGAGTATTAGTTAGCCCTGAGGATAATAGAGATCGAGGCTAGTATGATCGCTTCATTGCTGCTCCCACTAGTGCTTTGGCAGGTGAAGAAAACATGTTTTTTTTCAGAAAAATGGAATTTTGCACGTAGGTATTTGCATTTGTATCTTTTTCCTTCCACAAAAAGTACTCTCATGTATACTCGTGCCTATTTTTTCAGCAACT